TGATGCTGGTTACTTGTTAGGGCTACGTGCATTGAATATATAAACAGTGATAAGATAAGAAGAAAGAAGAAAAGGTATTTGCAGTGACCATTAATAAATAGGCAGAAATTTTGCCAAACTGTTGATACATTCCAAAACGAAAAACCAGGAGCTAGTGCTATACTGGTATAAATCAATGATCTTCAACATGGGGACCAAGAGCTACAGCAGCTGATCGAGAATTAGATCCACCTTTACTTTATGCCAACCTAGAAGCCCCACTCTGAAGAACTGAACAACCAAAATGCTTTGAAATTTATCATTGCAGATGAGATCAATCACTGTAATTCAACTGTTTTCTCCTTTTAATATCCATTGAATCCATTTCTCTTTGAGGAAGACGAGTCCTTTTCATTTTAAAGAACGACGGCCGCCCCGTCTGCATTACCAAAAATGAAAGTTTCATGAAATTAGTATTTTGCCTATGCTCTTCCACGTTTAATTCAATTATATTTACCCAATTGAGTCGTATTATTATTATTATTATTATTATTATTGTTATTATTATTTGTGATCGGGACCTCGATTCATCTCTCTAGACCTTGAAATTAAGGATCAAATAAATCTTTCAGTAGTCACTTTTATTAACAACCACTTAGCGATGATTTATAAATAATGTTATTGAATAAGGTATCATAATAATTTTTTTAAGTGTAAAATCTATGATCCTCAATTGATGATATAATCTTAAATCATTATAATACTAAGCAGGATTAACGATTAATAGCTATACCCTTTCCTAAAGAACCTAGACTAGGCGTGGCTAAGGCTAACACACTAATCAACAAAGGATTAAATTCTTGATTTGATTAATTATTTAATTAATATTATATTGCCGCAATAATGTTGCTGGGTCTTTGTAGCCATTGGGATGGTCCGAAGATTACCAACCCCCAATAAGATTAAATTCTCAGTAAAATTAATTATTAGGATATAGTCCAAAACATCCTTAATTAATTTAATTAAGCATAAATCAACCTCTCTTAGTAATTACACTAAACATGTTAATGCAAAAGGCAAGCACCACTATTTTTCACACATGCAAAGTTACAAAATTTCAACAATGTAGGCCATGTCTGGTTCATTATTTTTATCCATATTCTCAATTCTATTCCCCAAATATTGTTTGACACATTATTCTAAAAATATTACTATATTTTTTTAATTATATTTAGACCCCTTAAACTTATTAATTTCATAATACCCCAGAAAAAAAAGTTTAAAAATTAACAAAAACACCCCCATCAACCCATACTTGCCAGATTTCGACAACCACAGTCGGTGGTAGCCGAAATTTGTATAACGGCCTACTTGCCGACCAGAAATGGCCGAAAGTTAACCGATCTGGCCGTCAACGACAGCCAAAGAAATGGCGTCAACGACGGCTAAATATTGGCCATCGTTGACCGAAAATGACGGCCATATCTTTGGCATCGCTGACAGCCAAAGATTGACTTCTTTTGACCTTTTTTGGTGGTCGACTGCAACATTTGGCCGTAGATCTGGCCTTTTCCGACCAGATCTGTGGTGGATCTAGTCGGAAAAGTCCTTAGCGACGCGTTACGATATAGATCCGACTGGTCTGTGTCGTAACGAAATTTTTCGGCCAGATTCCCGCGGTGGTGGCCGGAATCTGGCACTGCAGGTGGTGGGGGTGTTTTTGTCATTTTATATATTAGGGTCTTTAATTAAATTAGCAAACCAAATGGCTTTTTCATAAATTTTTAAAGTTTACCTCGTAATACTCCCCTATCCAACTATCCAATATTATTCTCAAAATCCTATACAAAATAATGAACCAAACGCACCCGTAGATATCTAAGGCCTAAGATTCAAGTAGCTTCAGATTTTTGAGAGTATGCCATTTGCAGTTTCAATATTCAAGGAGCAAAATTTCTTCTCCACAAGCAGGCTTTTTGTAAGTCTAAACCCTCATCTTTTGAGGTGGTCGGGTGAGACGATTGACACTCTTGAGTGTATTAATACTCAAGAGGTCTTAAGTTCGATTCCATTTGGTTGCTAATAAGGATAGTTACTGGAAAGTTTATCCGGTCATTAACTTCAAGGTCTCGAGGGATTAGTTAAAGTTCATACAAGTAGGCTCGGAACATGCATTTGGACACTTTTCCTAAATGGGTGTGGATAGGAGATGATTTTTTTGTTTTGCCTTTTAATTCTGGCCTCTTAATCAAAACCCCATTACTGTTGATCATGACCCTGTATCCACCCACCATTCTTCAATATCTGCCAAATATTTTTCTGGGATTCACTGAACATGTGAGTCTATTTAGATGCATATAATATTAATGAATGTCATGAGTTGACTTGGTAATTAGTTTAGTATAATTGTGAGATTAAGGAGAATAATTGTTTGGTTTTGGAAATGACATGAGCGCGAGTTTCCAAGAAGGGCACATGATTTATTCAATTCTTTCCCCAGGATGTAGATTGAAGACAATGACTTGACACTGGGATTGGATCAAATTAAGCAAGTTGCAATATGGTGTGAGCTGGTTTCACGACTCATTGATGTTTAATTAATGGACAGAATTAGCTTTAATTGGCATATTAGGGAGAGATTATTATTCTCGTTCAAATAAGTGGAAACACTTTCCCCGTAATTCATGCCCATGTGGGTTATCTCTATTATTGCTTCAAACGAGACTTAATGTGACGTCTTTATTCCTTGTTTACATACACTGTAATTAAAACACAGTGAATCTGGAAACTCTCTGTTGAGAAACCTTTAACAGTCTGAATGAAGTGGGCCTGTTGTATTGAACCTGCTAGTCTTGATGAACCATGGGCCATGGCCATGGATCCATATTAACAACAGCAGCCATAACACAGGACTACAGGAGCATACTGCATACCATGAGAGAGAGGAAATGCAACAATTATAGAATGTGAATGGCAAGTTTTAATTTTAATGTTAAGTATCCTATCTGTCCAAGGATTATTATCTCAGGTCCTCAAGCAAAAGCACTAAATTCATGGCATTTAACAAGGACAAAAGCCAGAACCCAGTTGATAGAGAATGTTAAGGGTTTGCAGTGTCAATGGCAGCGTGGGACACTAAGAACCTTTTCTGGGTGACTTTGGAAACTCTCTGTTGATAAACCTTAAAGCTTCCGAATTGTTAATATTAATCCATGTGCTCGAGCCGCCATTGATTTCACATGTTCCATTGGTTAAACTCCCTTATCCATAACCATTACAGGAGGTACCTTCAATGAATCCCAACTTTATGATTATTGTAACATTAATTACTCCGTTACTTTCAGGGTTTTTGGATTTATAAATCCTTAGAAGCTCATATATTCCAAGTCCAAGAACAAAATCTAAGATTACGATCCATTTTCATATTACCAAAGATGAGGCAACGACATGTATAAATGTAGTGGGAGACTGATATTCATTGAACTTAAATAAAATCTGGAAAGAGAGGAATCAACCAGGCTGTTTGGTTTCAATGGGGTGAGGATAAAGGAAGCGGCTAAGAGGATGTGTTTTTAAGGAATCATGTGAAAGCATGTGAAATGGCATTGAGAGAAAGATAACCAAAACACGAAGCAAAAGCCTGTATAGCTTCATTATTTTCATTGAATATTCATCCCCATGCTCCTGGAGAAAATTATGTGGGTCCATTTTGCCCCCTCCCATGTTATCCTTTGCAATAATGCAAGCAACAACAACAACAACTACATATAAATGTGTCTTGTATAACCTTATATTTGCTACCTTTTCAATTGTTATATGCTTCTTTTGAGCCTGAAAGTTGTGCTTAAAGAGAAGAAGATTTGTCTAAAACTCTTTCTCTTCATGAAAATCATGAGATCAAGAAGGCAAGCGAGGGAAAGAAGTATTTGCAAGAAGCATACGAGGAGGAGCATTATCATGAAGAGAAGGGTTGTTAAAGAAGGTTATAAGAGGTCCATTAAAGGAAACAACTCAAGGATTAGAACCCTGAAAGAGCTTGTAAATGGTAAGTCCTTGAGGTTAGATGAGCTTTTCAGAGAGACAGCTGATTTCATCATGTGTTTACAAACGAAGGTGATGATTATGCAGACAATGATCAAGTTATTATCGCCATCTGATGAATAACTTCAACCAGCTTGTATGTAATTTTATACAACTGCATATGTAGTAGCAGTGGATTATTGTTCGTATGTGTAAAGTGTGGGATGGTTTATGTCATTTGTGAGGTAACATTACCAGATTGGTAATTAACATTTGATTAGAATCTTTAAAGTAATATACAGTGATTCAAACTGTTATTCTTAGTCCAGTAACGTTACTGACCCAATGACTGTAACAACTACTATGTGTAATGTATAATGATACATTTATTTGTTTTAATTACTTGATTCATCAAGAAATTAAACTCTTTGTAGTTGCTCTTTTGATTTGGGTCTTATTGTTTTGCAGTTTTTAACTTCTTTAATGTTCCCACGTTTCTCAAAGTTGAATGAACTCTAAATCAAAGATATACACTTACGTACCCATCCCTGAGTAGCCTATCTGGTTAGGACGAATTGGAGATAGTATAGATAGACGTACGGTTTTAGGTTCGATTCCTCATCAGTGCATCTGCGATTTAAGTGGGGGGCCGTAAAGGTAGGTTATTGTATTAGTCTCTCTAAGAATTAGTTGAAGTACGCGTAAGCTAGACTAGACACCTAGGTTACAAAAAACAATACATTTTACTTGAAGTAAGCTGATAGGTTGACATGATTTTGCAGGTTCTGCAGCATAGGAGGGGTAATAAAAAATTGGGCTTGAAATTGAGTCATGGGATGTGCCCGACCCAAACCCAAATCTAGGGCACAGTTGTAATTAAAAGAAGTGAAAGAAAACCAGCCAAAAGTCCTAAATAACAATTTGTGCAAAACAATAAAACGGCGCCGTAAACTGACGAAGAAGAACGACTAGGAGTTCAGTCGAAAGTCGAAACCTCAGTGCCCAAACCCAAAAACACACAGGAAAGTCTCTAGTCTCTGTAATTGATTAAGCGAGAATGGCATCAACTTCAATAGAAACGACGTCCTCTTTTTCTAGTCAAACAACAGCTACTGAGAGAAGAGGAATACCAGGAGCTCAGTTTGTGGAAGATGTACAAACTTATCTCTCTCAATTGGGTCTCGATGTCAACTCTGCTCTTGCCTTTCTCCAAGAAAGGTCTCTCTCTCAATTGGGTTCTCTTTAAAATCAAATCTTTATGTTTAAAAATGTTGCTTTCTCTATAAAAGTTCATTGCCTTACTGTTTTTGCAGACTTCAGCAATACAAGTTGGTTGAGATGAAACTTCTAGCTCAACAAAGGGATCTTCAGGTGTTCTTATTTTGATATTTTACTCTTTTTTTTTTTTTTCTAGTAAAGCATGCAATTTTTGCTTCAAATTCCTGTATATGAAGTTTAGTGGTAACTGTTTTGAATTTAGATTATGTTAAGATAGTTTTATATGTATATATATTTGCATTTATGTTACTGTCGGTGTTTCAAGAATTAGGGATAGTTTTTTAATGATCAACGTAGTGAGAAGATCTGACTTAAGCTTGATTTGTCATAAATATGAAACCTTGTAGTTGTAGTTTTGATTCGTTTGGACTTGTAGTTCTGTAAAACATAAGTCAAAGAATACTTGAAGCCTAATGTCAGCCCTAGGCTAACAAGAAGCTTGACATGATAGGTTCAAGTGTTGGGAAATCTTTTTACCTTTTTGTGAATTTTATTCAAATAATACTCTAAATGTTATTGTGAGATGTGGTTTGTCTGTCTTTGAGAAGCATAATTTTTTACTGTTTAAAGAGGTTGAGCATGGAATTGCATCTCAACTGTAGAAGTTTCATTGTAATTTTGATTTCCATCTTGTTTTTTGAAGGAATTTGGAAATATTTTGAAAAATGTTACTTTCTAGTTTTTGCCTTATATGAAGACCTTAGGGCTGAAAAATGTGAATTCTTATACTGCTTTCCCAGCTTGCAGTATATAAGTGATCTCAGTAGTTTTACTTTTTGCTGTCTGGATAAATGTTGAATTCATAACATTGTCATATAAGCAATTTATAGTTCTACATTGCAACATAATCACATTTCTACTGTTCTTTCACTCTTGACTAATTCTTAATATCGAAGTCTCTAACTGCTTTCATTTCCGCTTTCTATTGTTGGAGTTAGTTTTTATTTACAATCTATGCTCAAAACTTGACAAAGTTCACTGGACAAATTGATGCTCAACTTAAATTTTATTTCTTGTACTTTTTACAATTTTTGGTAACTCACATTTGTTCTTATGGTTGCCAGGCAAAGATCCCTGATATTGAGAAGTGCTTAGATGTAGTTGCAACTTTACAAGCTAAGAAGGGTACTGGTGAGGTTCGTTTTTGTTATTTTTCTTTTTGATGATATGAAATATGGTTTGAACTAGTGGTACTTGAATGTTTGGTTTTGAAGAAGTCTAGGACATCCAAATTCTCATCCTCATGTTAACTGGTATTGGACATCCTTTGATGGTTGTTTATTTGCCATATTGCAATTGCATGTTATTTATTTATTTTTGAAGTGGATAAAATCTGGTAAGTAGATTGGATAGTCTCACACATTGGTTTGATGGGTAATTGTGCAAGCAATTGTATAGATTGGCATAACAGGTCTTGAAACATGCATTACCATGCTTAATGTAACTGGTATCTGATTTTTCTAAGTTGCAATCTTAATATGATTCAGCCAATGAGCATTGTGTCATGCTGTACTTTGCTACTTGTTCGTTCCATGCCTTGTCAATTGTTTTCTGTTGGACTTCTTAAAAAGTGCCTGATTCCTGAACTAATGCCTTCAACAATTCTACCTAACTTCTGCAGCAACCGTAGTGTCTTTCTTTCTTCTTGAGCCATCAGCTAGAGCCTTTATCACCTGCTTTGGTTTTTACTTATTTATGACACCTTGGAGTCCCTGTCAAAATTTTCTCTTTTCTAGTGTTTTCACTCATCAGCCCCAGCATCATCTATTTTCTATAAACTCACTTTTATTCATGCCATTGTATGATTATTAACTGTTGTTGGTTCTGCATGCATCTCATCTTTAAGAAAAATTTCATCCCTTCATTTCTGATTGGTGTGATTCAACCACGTGTTCTCCATTGTTAATCTAACTGCTATGGTATTGTGTGGAACCTTTCTTTTCTTATTGAAGTTTGAACCTATTTTTAACCCTCCGCACCCCGTCACAATTCTCATTAACATTGATGCTAAAAATTTCTAAGTTACTAACTCACCTGATGGTCACTTATTGCTTTTAAGTTTAATCCTTTTATCCTGTGCTGATAGGGTTGCACTCTTTTTGTCATACACTTACACAAGAAATTATCCCTGACTTAGTAGCTCATGCTAAGCATTAATCTTTTGGACATATTTCTAATCCATCTTAGTTGCAAGTTGTACTTAGTCTATTAGGCACACTATTCATTTATATATGTCATTTCTGTTTCCTTTTATTTTTGCATCTTCCTGTATCATATACATAGTCTTGTAGGCATACATTCACTTATGAATGTCATCTCTTTTCCCTTTGAACTTTGTATCTTCCTGTATTAGATGCATTGTCTTTTAGGCATATATTTCACTTATGAATGTCATCTCTTTTTCCTTTTTAACTTTGCATCTTCCTGTATTAGATGCATATGGTTATTCTGACAATATAAAATTCTTCCTATTCCGTCAGTTGAGGCTGAGGTTCCTTTTAAGCTGAAAAGAATATGTATGTTGGGTTGGTGTTCTGACTTCTGATCTTCCCATGGTGGCTATTGCTGTGTAGAAACGTTGGTTGTTGTTTTAGCATTCAGTTTGATGGTCTTTGCTAATTTCATCTGTGTGGTTTAGAAAACTGAAACATTTATATTCTTCAGATGCCTTCCAGTGGCGTGATCTTTTTTTAGATTATTTACTTAGACCTTCAGTTAGGTGGCAAGAATACATCTGAGCCTAGCCCTTCTAGTCCTTCAGTCCCAAAATAGGGGAAAAAAAAAAAAAAGAGGTTTCTGTTCTGCCAATTAAACTTTCCATACAGTAATTGAGTTCATGTCTTTCGAATCCTGTATAAAGTAGTTGTGAAATTATGCGGGACCTAAACACAGTAAGCTGTAATGGCATCTGCTGCAGTCATGACTTTAGGAATTATCTAGTTGTAGTGTTCGGAATATCATCTGTTGAAATTGGGGCTCTAATTTAATAGCATGTGCATATATACTGGAACTATCAGATTTTGTGCTAAAAGAATTTTCTGTTATGGATACAGGATCTTGTTGCTGATTTTGAAGTGTCTGAAGGCATATATTCACGTGCTCGCATTCAGGATACTGACTCAGTGTGTTTATGGCTGGGAGCAAATGTCATGTTAGAATATTCATATGAAGAGGTCCATCCTTCTCTTCTATTCTGATGCCTTTTTAAGTTCTCTTTTCCTGTGTTAAAATTGATAGGATAATTTTTCTGTGACTTGTGATGCAGGCCACTTCTCTTCTGCAGAAGAATTTAGATAATGCTAAAGCAAGTTTAGAAGTTCTTATTGCCGATTTGCAATTCTTGAGGGATCAAGTTACTATAACTCAGGTATGGTAGGCGTATCAAAATCTTTTGTTTCCAAGTGGTGATTGAATGAGTCAAGGCCTCATTTGAAAGCAAGCTATTGCATTGAATGGAATAAAAAATAATAATTAAATAAATAAGAAATCTTTGAATGCATCGAATGCCTACAGTATGGTGGAGCCCTATGAGCCCCTAAAACTGTGACTTCTTTTTCACTGGAGAAATACAGCGAGTCTATATACTTAAATCTTCTTCAGTATCCTTCGTTTTCATGTACAATTTGTAATACTTCTCGACTAATATACTGTTTGGCAGGTCACCATCGCTCGTGTTTATAATTGGGATGTTCATCAGCGTAGAGTTCGACAAGCTACCACAGTGGCTAAAGATTCATGAAATAAAAGTCTCATTACAACCATATTTAGACGCGGCAGGATTTCACCGGTTGAGAACATAATCCCAGTCTATCTTGTTGCATCATTCGGGCGACTAACTCGTCTTTGTATTATACTTTTCTTTGTTCTCTCCACATCAAGACTTAAAGTTCCAGATCTTTTAGGGTGTTTTGTGTTGTTCAATTTCATCTGATGTTATGTTTATTTTATTTCACAGTTACTTTTGACATAGACATGGTGGTGGTGGGTAACATGTTTAAATTTCAAAGTTCTAAAATTCTAAATCCTTGGGCGACTGGAAGAAATATTGGGACCCAGATAAAACTTAAATGTGAAGTTTGATGCCTTTTCTTGCCTAGTCTATGTTGATGTCATTTCATTTCTCTCTTATCCTTTGTTAAAAGGATCATAATTCTTGGAGTTTGGTATTATAAAATTGTAATCCTTAGTCAGAAATGACATTATGTTAACCTTAACAGCCTGATCAAGTCAACCAAAGAAATGATTCTGTTTCTTGAAGAAAACACAGAAGCTGCCATTATGGTATGGAAAAGGAAAACTATAGAACTTTGGAGCTCACGCTTGAATTATATATTGTTATAAGGCTTCTGTTTTTGACTCAAATTCAATTAGTTTGGTGGGGTTGCAGCACTTAAGTTCCATCAAACTTAAACCATTTTTAATTTCACTGTCTGACTGAACCTTGAAATGGGTTGATCTGATCCTCTTTGCCCTTAAGGTCCTTAATTTACTGGCCATCTACATCTGGGAAGTCTCTGAATCAAATCTGAAAACGTCTAGCAGGAAACCACTTCGCTTTATAGCCCTTCAAATGTTTTTGCATTTATTGGATGGTTTCAAATTTTCAATACAAAAATTTATTTTCTTTGTTCTTTTCTACTTCTTCTTCTTCTGTGGATGGACCAAACCAAGAATTGATAATGGCAGTCAAGATGATGCATGTCCATTGGAGAAGTAACAACAGCACACAAAGGTGTAATTTTCAATTTCATCTTTTATTTTGTTGACCTAATATAAAAATGGACCCAATTAATTAAATGATGGTCCCAATTCTCTACCATGTCGCTTTGACACTTTCAAATAGTCAAATACAAACATCTTCCTTCCCTTCCGATTCTGCTGTTGACATTCTGCTTTTCTAGGGTTGTGGGATTAAAATAACCTAATTATAATCTTGATGGGTATAATTATATGTAGAGAGATTTGACTGCCTGGAAAGCCGCATTCAAGTCACGGGATTAGATTTTCTATCTACCCATTTGAGTTATTAAATTCATTCTACAAATTATCTTCTGATTTAATCTAAACCATTTAATGGTGTGGGAAAAAAATCACAAACTCATCATGATCATCAAGAACATCAAATTTTTCAACTACTTTTATCATTATAAATTTATAACTACATTCAAACACTATTATTACAGTCAATCAACTACCCTCACTTGTGTAGGCCAAAGTCTTTTTTGTCTTAATGTCTAAACTTATTTTGAGAAAGTTTTTCGTATATCCGTCGCACATCCAACCAGTTAATAAGGGTATTATATCACATCAATTCGAGTAAAACGTTCTTATCGTTTGAATTTTGAATGTCTTTTATATATACCTTATGCATATTCAATTAGTCAACGAAAATATTTCACGTGAAATATTTTTTACTGTCTAATTGATTGATTGTATATATGATAAATGCAAGTTGTAAAATGAGTTTGAAAACTTTACTACCCGTATTCACTGCTTTAACTTACTGCTTCTCAAAAGATTGTAAATTCAAATTGGGTTCCAATTTCGAATTCGGTTGACATTGAAACCCTAATGTGAGTTATGGGTGGGGAGGAGGTGCAGGTACACCAGAAAAGCATGGGATAAAAACTTGGGAAAAGGTGAAGGGAATCGGTAGTAAAATTATATAGAGACGTGCACGCAAAACGAGGCTGATTTGTCTTCACTGCCTTGTGTAATTAAAGTCGTTTTGTCCGTTTCTAAACGACGCGTTTTAGCCTTACCCAGTTTTATAATATAAATATAATCATCATTTTTTTTTTTTGACTTTGACTTATCATGTGCGGCCAAGATCCTATCTCACTCTCCAAAAAAAAAATACCCAAAATAACTTTAAAATATTTAATTAAGGTATATATTTATTTATTTATTTATTAAAGTAACTTAATTTTGCCGCAATCATCGGTGGTGTTTTCATTCATCAAACTACTAGAATTGAAAAGGTCAACGGGTTGGGTCTGGATCCGGGTTCGGATTCGGATTCTTTCAAGATATTAATTAATTAAATTTTTTTTCTAACTTTTTACTTGATGTTACGTAACTGCTATTGGGGTGCACTTATATATTTTTCTTCTTTTAATTATTGAATTTGCCTAACCCACAAGTTTCTTGCACCTTGTTGAAAGATTCAACACTTAACCAAATAGAAGAACGGATTATCCATATATTTATACAAATGAAATAAGTGTCTTTTTGAGTTTTTTCCTCGAGTGATAATACCACTAAATAGAACTAATATTCTTATTTCTTCTTTCTTTTTTTTGGTAATCGGAGATGTCTGAATCAATTTGTGTATACCTCAATTAATTTTTCAGGACCTTAAAGTTAACGGTCGTGTAATCTTTCAGTCACCATCTCTATTAGTAACCGAGAGAAATTAAACTCATGAGGTGTTCTTATTTCTTTGCCCTTTAAATGACCCAGTATGACGAGAAAATTGGTTTTATATGTACATAATTAGTGTAATTACACTCGGCTAGATACTTTGAAACGTGTCATCATATTTTATCATTGTTTTTTCACCAGAAATTTAGAAGATTTTTTTTGGTTTCCTCTCTCTCTCTCTCTCTCTCTTTCTCTTATTAATGAAAATGATTTTTTAGGTGACCTAATGTTAAGAGCAGGAAGAAAATTTAGAAGAAGACAACCAAGTTTGAAACATTCTATCTTCTTTGTGAACAGAAACTTGCAAGTTTTAACATTCATCTCTAGTGCTTGCTTTTATCTTGACAAAACAAAACAAAAAAATCTGTAAATGTGCACCATATAAACCGTTGTTGACTAGGTCTCAATTCAATTAACTATGGCCCTCAATTATAGAAAATGAAATAGATTAGTAAGTCTCAATCAAGACCTTTGGTTTATGTCTTATTCGAGTGGTTGGGTTGACTATTGTTAAGACTGTAGTCATAGAAAGAGATAGATAAAGAGAGAGAGAGAGAGCCCTCATTATCAAGATATTAATTAACCCTATGACTCAAGGGTAAGTTCAAAGCCTAAAGAAGCTGTATAATTTACATATATTAAAGGGAAAATCTAGCAAGGATCTCGCTGAGAAATAAATATAATGAGGGAAGGAATATGTAGTGGTTTCTCTTCTCTAGAATCTAACTTTGTTTAACAATACGTAATCATGCAGGAAGTTTTAATTAAAATTAAAAAAAAAACTGGCATTAGTGGATGATGTCAACATTAATCTAGAGAAGGAATCATTTAACTATGACATCTCATGATAGGGTTAACCCTAAAATATTGTTTGAAAGCACCAGATAATTTGTTTCAATGCTATATATTATAATGTCAATAGACTAGGAAATGAGAACTCCTCTATAAACCCAGTTGAATAAACATCAATCCCATTGTTGAAGAACAAAACCGAAAGCGTGACGTCTGGAGAAGTAAGCTCAGACAAATAAAAATGGTCGTAGTCAGTATCCGAAGACCACAGCACTATGCTTTCAGATCGTGAAAGTCAGACAAGTGGAAATATTTTTTTATAAATTAACACCAGAATTATTCTGTCTATGATGTATCTGGTAGTTTATTTTGAAAGAATGATTCTGCAAATTTGTGTACATAAACATTGAATTAATGAAACGAAATGGCCGGTTATAGGATATGGTTTTGAAATAAATTAGCTCTATATAATAGATCAACAAAGATTCTAGCTATGCCGTCTGACATATTCCCTGCCACCAAACATAATAATATATGTACTGAATACAGTTTCAATTTCAAATGTTTAAACCAGCAGGCAGTTGGATATTATTGTACAAATATATATTCTGACCACTGCGTCACTGCCTAGAGAACCCAACACAACTAACTATACAATAAGTAATAGGTAAACCCTAATTATTCTTTTATATACTATAGTTAAAATCCTGTAACAAAGAATCTTATATATATATATATATATATATATAACGTTAATGCAAGAACAGATTAAGTTACTTCGTGCAGATATTAAGAATTGCCTAATCATAGTGACATAAACCATTGCATTAAAATTCAAATTGAAAACTGTTTGACGTAGAAATTTGCCCCAACCAGAGGTACGTGCCTAAAAGTGTTAGAACTAGGGGTGTTCAGTTCCGGGTATCCTGCATTTTTTAAAGGAACCGGAACCGCCTAAGTACCTAGAACCAGAACCTGTAACAACGGTTCCGGTTCTGGTTCTAGGTACCCTATAAAATTACAAAGACCCCCCAAAAGCTTTTTAAATGGTACAAAAACTCTCAAAAACTTACAAATACCCCCCCACCTGGCACTTGTTAACAAAAATAAAATTACAAATTATAAATTACAAATTATAAATTACAAATTACAAACTCCATTACTTTGTAAAGATAGATTCTCAAAAGTCAAACCAACTTACTTTAAATGTTATGAAATATAAATATAAATGTATTCACATTACTTTTTCTACAAAAGTTTTTATTAACTCCCCTAATCTTTAATTTTATTTTATATTAGTCTCGGTTCCTGGTTCCTGGTTCCAGTTCCGGTTCTTAACTATGGGAACCGGAACCGTATAGTAACAGTTTCAAAAATTTGGAACTAGAACCTATCCGTTGACGGTGGGTTCTGGGTAGGAACCGGAACTAAACCCCGAGTACCCGTCGATTCCAGTTCCAACCGGTTTTTTTGAATACCCCTAGTTAGAACCATGTAGAATGTGTGTATGATCCCGGTGGATCAGCAATGAAATAATACGATGGTGAATATGAAAAAATTAACAGAAAACACAAAGAACCAAATACTTGTTGAAGTGGTTTTGCTGCTCATAATGCAATGTCTATGTTCCATTTAATGTTATTGAATGTATAGAAATAGTAATTTGATTTACAAAGAGTTTGCAGTTTGTCTTCTGTAACTTACTTTCGTCCCTAGAAACAGATTATAACTGAGTTTATATAATGTCAATTACACGGTTGAGTTATAAATGAACTCAAATTTCGGTAAAACAGGGAGTTGCGTTATATGGGATCTATATCACCAGATATCTACATGCCAAAAGGAGAGTTTATCCACTCCGAATTTTTCGCACAACAAAAATGTATTGAAAATTTAAGAGGTGTTTGTCTGAGCTTATGAAAATTAGCT